ACAACTCGTATTTCTGGCAACCGTTTCAATTTCATGTCAATTTGTATGTAGCTGTTGCTTGAAGAAAAATGTATGTGTATTTATTGTTTTAGATAACTTAGATAATTAAATTTCATTCCATATTTTTAATTTTTAAGTTTCTCCAATGAGTTCAAAACAAAAGAAGATTGAAGCTGCAGGAAAATTGAAAGATCCATATCAAATGCATTTAAAAAAGAAATAAAATAAAATCGTCTTTATTTTACATGTGCATGCAAAATAAATTAGAAACAATTATAGAAAATTACGTAAATCCTTCATGAAAAAAAAACAACATAATTTAATTTATTAAATTCGTTGATGGTTCGAGTTTACTCTTGACAGTGACAGCTTCACCAACCCGTGGTAACGTATAATGGAAAACTGACACTGGCGACGATCGCCATATTTTTTATATTATTCTTATAAAACTGACAGTGGCCCAAGCCTAGTGGCCGCCATTAGTAAAATAATAATAATTTATATTAATTTAATAATACACCAGTACCAGTGGAGGTGTAGTATGAAAAATGGAATATTTTTTTAATATTAAAACAACCACTTGGTTTCTAACTAGCGATTAGGTAGGACCACATCCTTCGTTTAGTAGCGTCAGTTTAAGGTTAATAAGGTTAACAATTCACGAAGCGGTTTCCATCCGCGCCCGCCGCGGCGGGTGTTAGACAGCGGTTTTATTTCAATGCTCACGATCCTGCAAGTTTGTGCGGGCACGTAGCCACCGCGGTTGCGGGCACGAAACCGTTGCGATTGCGGAACGAACCGCGAAGTTAGTGGGAGTTAATCGCAAGTAGTGCAGTTAATAGAGAACTTACCCCGCGTGCGCTTGCACCACATTGCGCCTGAACCGACCGCCAAAGTGCGCGGGCGACGACGGCCGCCAAGCGCGCAGGTGATCGCGTCCTGCGCGGTTCTAAGTATTACCACCCCGCCGCGGCAACCGCGAGTAACCGCCACCACCCCACAGGCGTAAAACGCGCCGCGAAACGTGCTACTAATTTTACATACTTAACTATTACATTCCACAGATGCCGCGCTCCCGCGGCAGACGCGGGTGAAAGCCGCTCCATGATTTCTTAGTGTAACGAAAAATGAATTTCAGCGCCATCTAACGTGTAATAGTTAGCTATTATATACTAGTAGTATTTTTATTAAAACGCCACCTGACGGTGAATGGCTGAACCAGAATGAAAAAATACTGAAATATTGTAATATAACTCTTATTCAAGGGACTGTAACTTTAAGTTTGTTAAATTTTAAAATTGTGTTCCGTCGTTTTCACGTTTTAAGCCCTACCCAATCAAAATCTTTAAGTTATGGTAGTAGATAATAGAGCCTAAAGTTTGTATTGCACACAAGCTAAAAAGTGGCGACATCGGTACCGATCTTACATAGCGTCATTATATATCTCCCCTTTTTTCCTCTATCTATGGGCACCACTAAGCGCACGTTGTCCATCCCGTCACTCTGTATCATAAAATAAGCAAAAGATAAGTTGAGATGTGCTCTTCCACATCTTCGAAGTTTAGGGTTGGTGATTTTAGTTAGGGGTTTAATTTTAGCTGATACAATACCGTTTTTCCTCGGTTTTCTTGTTAAACCGCCAACCCACATTAGCTTACCTGACAATGAGCGTGTGAACGAGTTATGCAAGACTTATCTGTTTTCCAGTGTCTACTTAACTTGGTTCTTTCTTTTGCTTTGCCGGAAAAATTGTGCTTTTTTTTTGCATTTCAATGAAACATTCTAACGGTTTCATACATCACCCAACATTGCGTTATCCGAATAGTGTAGTTCCATGTTAATTTGAGTTGAATATTTTTAATAATGGTAATGTACCAGATAGTTGCCGAAATATTATTTGCACCGATTGGTCTTATGGCTTCATGTTCAGAAACACGTCAAGCTTGACACTTTGTACTTTAGATCATCCTTATCTTAAGCGGCATAGAGTTGGATTTAAAATTTAAAATTTTTAAAAAAAATTTTAAAATTTAAAAAATTTAAATCTTAAGTATCAAGCTTGTCGTGCTCTTGACCCTGACAATAGGATAATAGCGTGAACCGTCTCTGTAACGCACGTGCCATCTGTATAGTGCACAAAGAACTGGTTTAAATACTTTTACGAAATTGGCACTTAATTCTAAACTTGATAATCTGTATGCGTAAATAACTTGTTTGATTAGTAAGGAAAGAGTCGGTAGTACGGAGTATCAACTGCTAGAAAAACGGCCTGTTGAGTAAAGAAATAATTGGAAACTAGAATTCAGAAAAAGCGTTTAGCGCACTCATGACTGATACGATTCTTCTTATCGAGTCAATGCATAAACGAGTAGAAAACCTGTATTATATTTAATTCTAAATATAACTGGTATGATGGACTAAGATCGTTAAATTCATGTACGAATGTGCCTGTAGGCATTTGGGATTTGTCAAGTTATGTCTCAGGGTGACGGGCGTAGTGGCAGTGCCCCTCAGATTTTTGCGATTTAAAGCTCTGAGTGGCACTGCAACTGTTAAGGACAGGCGTGTAGGTTACCATCAGGTGCACGACCTGTTCTTCCTGTCACTTGATATTATAAAAAATATTAAATACGCTTTATGTAAAAGAGGTGTTAATTGTATTATTACCCTAATGTAATAGAAAGGATAAGTCGTTACAAGAGATAACATTCATTGGTGCTAATTACCTGGGCTCCAAATCTGTAAATTTTGTTGAAACCACTGGTCATTGTAAAATATTGATAGCAGTTTGATACCACGTTAAAACGTGGCTGCCGCGACACTATGGTGCATAGCAGAGGCGCGTACACGTAAACGTCGAGGAACATAGAAAATGGAAACTGCATTACGACAATATTTTTTAGGTCCGGGATCTTTTCGGGATTCGGGAAATCACTTAAGTACATTAAAAATTGACTTTATTTGGGATAGGCATGTAGACTATATTTCTCTTAATTGTTGCACATCCATTTTTCGGAATATTTAGGAAATTTTTTTATTTCTAATTGTTATAATAGCTACTTCTATTAACATTATACATATATTTAGTTCAGGTAAGATGGCGCTAGATGGCGTTGAACCCTTTATGCAATTTTCTAAAACGCGCTATTAACATGTTCTCGGAAATTGTATATCTGTGGAGTGATTTCTAAACGTATCCGGTGGTGCAGTCAAGGCCATCAGCGGCCAACTGCAAAATATCTTTCATAAAAAAAATAGAAACGTGGCATTGGAGCATACAGGCTGCTTCAGTTTTGGATGTTTGTGGGACGCTATACACTAATTATGACATGAAAATCGAATCAGCAAGTTAAAACGTACTAGAATACGAAGAGTCGATGCGATAGTTTTAGGATTCAGCAGGAATGTCCATAAATCAACAGAATGTTTGAAATGTACAGTGTCTTTTGTAAAGGGGACTGTATGGTGAAATCCGAAACCACAGAAAATACAAAGATGCTGTCTTAGGAATTATTAAGGTTTTTTTTGTGAAAACAATTTTAGCATAGTCAAAGTTTTTGGTCAAGCGTGAGTTGTCCATAAAAATGAATAAAATTTATCAAATTTTTCGTTTGATCGACTCAGTTTCATGAAGGAATCATTTCATTGTCATTACGAAAAAATCGGGACAGCAGATAAGAAATTTTAAAAAACCTTTCTCTTACAAAATAAATAAAATTATTATATTTAATGACAAAACATGATGCGTGTGCGCGACAGCGCTAATGGCATCCAGGCCGTTGTTGCCAACAGGCTGGACTACCCCTACCAATATACACTATAAATAAATATTAGACAACATCACATATTAGACAAGGTGCAACCACACGCGCGTAGGCATGCCCCTATTTAAAAAACTAAACATCTTACCTACCCCTGTATGTATATCAGAGACATCTGTGTGTTTGTTAAGACTAATCCTAAACATTTTAAAATACGTGGCGAAATATTTCAAAGACAAACACGGCCTAAAATTATGAATCAATTATATCAACCTCGTTGCCATAAAATAATTTACACAAATAACTGCTACAACATGTGCATTAAGATTTTTAATAATTTACCAAGTGACATTAAATTACTACACGGACATAATCTTAAACTACAATTGACAAGATGGCTTATGACACATTGCTTCTATAGTAATAAGGAAACTTTGAATTTAGAAATATTTGACATTTTAATTAACTTCAATTACCTGTACCAATAAATTCCAATATATTTGCACACCTGCTTGCAGGTTGAATACATTGTACCAATTTAATTTAAGACCTGTATATTTACTGTATTTTGGCAAATAAACATTAATCTAATCTAATTTAATCTAATCTAGGGTCTAGCCGTGGCATTTTCTCTAGTATTAAGTCTTTTTGTTTTGTACTAACCATAGCACGTAAGAAAAACGTACTGTATTACTAATATTAGATACTGTATCCTTAGTAGTCTGAAATAAATCATTCTATTCTGTCCAAAAAAATCGTGTTATCAAGGAGATTCAGTCCATCCAGATTGTATAGCTTGTCGTAGCGAAAATTGTTTGCAATTCCATCTTTAGGTACCTTATTATGTTACAAAATATGCTATTCGTATGTCTATACAGAAGATTGTATCTTCGAAATTAAAGTATTATTTTCCTCAGCTTAATAATTAATAATGAAAGCTCATGGCCGAACGATTACCGAGCTGGTTTGCCACGCTCAGGTTTCGGGTTTCAAAAAAAATAGGTCTTGTAATCCGAAATTAAGAAACTCGTGTTCTTAGGTTTTCGCTTTAGGTTTCTCCGGGTTCGATTCTTCTCGTGAGTTTGGGTGTAATTTGTAGTTGTCTAATATGTATGTCCATGGATGGTCCGTGACACCCGCGATATAGGGTTTCCTTAGTGCCATGAGTGTGTGTGTTTAAAAAAGAGTAAAACAACATCAATAGCTTACACGGAAACATAAAGAATACACTGGTATGTGGGTAAAATATATTAGGTGATACAGAAAAATACTATTACAATACTTAATAATATAAAAATATAGTTACACCGCAAATATGAGAAATAAAAAACATCATTTTATTTGTCTAATTCGTAAATGCAATACATGCTACAATACTTATGTAAATAGTACTCGAAATCAAAATTGCGCATATAACACTTCAGACCTGGCATTGATAATATTTTGGGCCTGCGGGAAGTATGGCAGAATGTTGATCCAAGCATCCAAACATAGTGTTAAAATACCAACCTAAGAAACAAAGTACAGATAGATATACACAGTGTATTTTAATAAATCGCCCGTATTAAAAAGTATGACTCGGCCGTGGTAGCCTTAATGGTGTGACCTATTGCCTCCCAAGCAGAGGCCGTGGGTTCGAATCTCGGGCTCGCACCTCTGAGTTTTTAAGAATTTATGTGCGAAATTTACCACGTTTGGGGAGCTGTATCATTGTCATTATCATTCTAGCAACACGAGGTAGGCACCCTAGAATTTATATTGCTACAGTCGTGTTAGGGTGTGTATCATTTGTGTGATAATCAAATAATTTTAATCGATATAACGCTCATTTAATATAATTTTCACTTGGACTTCATTTCAAATAATTGTCATTTTAAATGATATTCACATTTTGTAAGAACATTTTATATATTGTCAATTTCAATCAACCACAATCAAAAACAATCAAGTTAACCGACAATGCGCGACCCTCCTTTAGTAAAAGCAGAACCGAATTTGTTTGCGTTTCCGAACACGTTTTAGGTAAAATTTAGTTTAATAATCTATTTTTAATTATGTAAACTGCGGTTTACAATTTATAATTGTTATTTAATGTGAATGTTAGTGCCCAGTTACACGAGAGTTTTCGCAAGGCCGCCGTGCGGCGACCGCCCAGTAACCACGTCTTCATGTACATTTATGACGAATTTCAATTCTATTTATTAGGCAACAACATTTTAATTCCTCTGAACAATACAGCCACCACGTAGACCAAATTCAGGCTAGCCCGTGTAACCGGAACGCTCATTTAAGTTAAAACGTAAAAGCTAAACAAATGGAGCGTATTTTTTTATGGCAGTTAGAAGCACGCGGTCGCTGCACGGTGGCAACGCGGACTCCGCTCGGTGACCGCGCGGGGTGAGGGCGATGATTTCGTGTCGAATAAATGCGCCCTAAGGGTTCATTCAGAGTGCAGGTGCGGGCGCGGCTTTCACAGTGCCAAAGAGGCTACAAGCGAGTAGAGCCACATGTCAAAATCGCAAACAAACGATAGATCAAGCACTGGGGAAGGTACGGGCGGGTCGAGCCAATACAGCTACCCGCGCGGCGCGCGCAGCCACTGAGAACGCAACAAGCGTCTACGAACATTTGATGTACACCCGCAGTCGCACCCGCGCCCGCCGCCACTCTGAATAAGGTCTTATTTAGGGTTATCGCTTGTTATCAAAAATGATATTATAGAATGTAAGTTCATATTAAACATTAGTTATATTAAGTGAATTGTTATATGAAAAAAAAATGTTAAATAAAATTATATTAAACGAGCCTAACGGTTAAAAATACTTAAGCGTATGATACTTTACACACCCGTAGTGTTATGGTTCTAGTAATTACTATGTGTAAATTATCACAAACGGAAATATTTACTTTAGTCTCGGCCCGATAAGAGAAGCAATGCATTATGCCTCTTGTGAGACCCTGCAGTATCCCAAACACATCACCCGGACCAAGGAGTTCGTGAGTTGTTTCGGTCAAATCCGTACGCACTGACAATACCGATACTGTTCCCTGTGTAACCCAGTACATGCAGGCCTCACTGTCGCCTGCTGCTACTATGTAGTTACCTGAAATATACTAAAAAATTACTTTAAAATACCAGTTTTTTAAGGTACGTTGATAACGAGGCATTTGTCTATCGGATACCATTACAGCCAAATTGATATTAATCATGAAGCAGTGGTAGCCTAATGGTTTGGCCTACTGCCTCTCAAGCAGAGGCTGTGGGTTCGAATCCTAAGTGGGCTGGCACATCAAAGTTTCTCATAATTTATGTGTGATATTTAATTTGAAATTTACCATGACCTTTTCGGTAAATGAAAACATTGTAAAGGTGTAAGAAATCTGCGCGTCGAAGAAGGTTCACAACCCTCGGAAAACGTGTGAAGTCCTAATTCGCGTTAGGAAAGCGTGGAGGAATATGGGCCTAAATCTTTGGCTGAGAGGAGACCCATGCTCTGCAGTGGGACGTAGAAATGGATTGATGGTGATGATACTAACCAGGAAAGAATGTGGTATAAGTGAGCACAGCAGTGAGTTGCCTGAGGAAGTGCTCGCCGGTGTCGGCAAAGAGAAAGCAGTTCTGCAGATGGTGGCCGAACATCGCCGACATGAGGTCACAGCGGCGGACATGCGGGGTTTGAGCTAGGAGTACCGGCAACTGTGAAGAAAGTAAAATGTAACGATAGCGAATTTAAACTCTAAAATTTAGTAACAGAAGAGCTCCTTGTGAAAGAATTCGTCCAGGGAAGTAAAGTCACCTACCTATTTCTACCGCTAAGCACTAATGCGAGTATTAGTGTGTTCTAGTATTGAAGGGTAAGCGTCCAGTTACACGAGGCGAAAGTTTTCGCGCGGCCTAGTTACCACGCCTTCGTGTAAATTAATGGCGCACCTGAAATTCTATTTACTAGCAACAACATTTAAATTCCCCTGAATAACATAACCGCCGCTCGCCGCGCGGGCTGCCGCGTAAACCAAATCCGAGCCAGACTCGCCGACGTATCCGGGACGCTCATTTAAGTAGAAACCGAAAAGCTAAATAAATAGAGAGTATTTTGCCATGACAGTTAGACGCACGCGGTCGCTGCCGCAGTCGCTCGGCGACTTCAACGGCGGCCGCGCGGGGTGGAGCGCGATGAAATTCCTGTGGAATAAATGCGCCCTAATGGTGCTGGTGAAATTACAGATACATGCAACTTGCTAACTTATGTCTCGAAATGAAGGACGCGTGGCAGTGCCTCTCAGGTCCTTGCAATTTAAAGCTCTGAGTGACACTGCGACTGCTATGGACAGGCGCGTTGCTTGCCACCAGGAGCATTGTTTTTCCCTTCATGTAGTATCATAAAAACATTGACACATTATAACACTCTGAAGTAAGGGAACAAAATTCTATTAGAAGATAAGTCCCAACCCGTAAGGCCCATGTAGTGGTCGTATGTTACTAATACGTCCATAAACCAGTACAAAAAATATGCAGTAAATCAAAAATAAATAAATTGTACATTTCTTTGAATACGCACTTGTCGACCTCTCTCATACACCCACAGCTGCTTAATGTACATCCAGTATTTTTTCAGCTGATAGTCTGAAAATATTCATAAAATACAATAAAATAGTTATTTGATATGCAAGGCTACAAAGTTGTTGTTTGATGCGAGTGCTTGTATTGAAACTTGAGCACCTTCGCTTGCTCTAGTTAAGGTTCAAAAGATTCCTGAGTGAGGGTTTCAAGACACGACACGCAAAACAACTTTGCTGCCGAGCGAAACACACAACTTTTCACCTCACTATAGCGAGCAAAATAGTAGATGAAAGAAAAACAGTTGAACTATAACAAATCCGATTTATTCATTCATATATCAAGAAATAATTTAATAAATAAAATTAGTTATCGTTGTCAATTTTAACTTTTTTTAGTTAATGTCAACAATATTAAAAATAAAATAATGTCAACGGATTTATAGATATTACATAAATAATGTACGACTAATCGCGTAGTTGAACATGTCATGTTTTTTTTCATCGAAAGAAAAAGTTAGATGCACCATAGTCCATCGTCAAGATCGAATTTCAAAACCTTTTCCACGCTAGTGTGGAAAAAACGCTTTTGACCGCAGATTTCTGAGAAAGAATGTCTTTCCGAGCTTGTGAGGTGAAAAAATTCTTTATTGTCACAATGACACTTTTTGATATGATTTCTGATTTCTGCAGGTTTAAATGTAACGAGGGTCTAAAACAATTGCAAAATTTGAAAAACTATATTCAGTCATCGTGTCGTTATCTGACAGCGATGTGGTTTATCATGGTCGCTTTTAGGTGTCACATTGGCCGCTTTTGGGCTGCTAATACGTCCTGAACTACGCTTGGGACTGCCGTGTGGTACGCCCAGGTGCGCATTCGTTTTCCGCAGGCCTCCGGACCGCTTTTCCTGCTGTACCGCCTCTGTGTGGCATAAGCTCAAAGGGAGTCAGCACAATCAGGATATTTTTGTCAAGGTCCGCAATGCATTTATGGTATTAAGGATACTGTCTTACTGTCGCATTTTTCATCAAGGGGAATTTTACACCGTTTGCAGGTTTGAAAAAAACTTTTATAAACAACGAAAAAGCAATCAACTGTCAAATTAATTTAAAAAAAATATATTCTAAGTTTTAGATAAAAACAAAGACTTGAAACCTAAAAGTAACACCATACGGGTGAATACCCTCCACAAGTGTACAAATACAAGGACATGTACATGACACTTTCGTTTGAACAGAGAATAGAATAAACTAAAAATCATTAATTCCGTAAAAAAACCTCAGCATAGTACAAACACACTATATAACTACAATTCATAATAATTTCCGACTACAACACATGATTTAATACAAATTGAAAGCAACACATTGAGTAGCAGTAGAGCTCCTTGTGAAAGAGTTCGTCCGGAGAAGTACCTATTTCTGACTCCAAGCAGTAATGTGAGCATTACTGTGTCCCGATTTTAAAAGGAAGGGCTCTGCGCACACATGTGTCTTGTGTAGCATACAAGCAACTAGAAGCGAATATTTTATTTTCATACAATTGATTTGAAACACAGTCGCCGGTTGCGACAGTCGGACACTGTCGCCGGTTGTCGCAACCGCAATGTGTAGAAAATAGAATAGTCGCTTCTAGTTGCCAGTTGCTTGTATCCAACACAAGACACGAGTTTGCGCGACGCCTAAAGGGTGCTGGTGAAATTACAGGCATATAAGACTTGTCAATTTATGTCTCAGGCTGACGGGCGCAGTGCAGGCTGACAGGCGTGTTGCTTATCACCATAAGATTCAGTCAGATTCATCTCGGTATCATAAAAAATTTGGTATGAAAACAAATAAACTTAAGTATTGACAAGAAATGTTACTTACTCGATAATCCTTGGTTTCTTAAAACATCTACTAATTCCCCAACATTTCTCTCGTAATTAATAAGGGCACTTTTAGCAGAATAAGATAGCTGGATGCAAGTCGCAACGATCATAGCTGCTAGCATTTTACCGCACACCACAGACAGACTTAGTATGACGAATGCCTTAATTTCCTCTATGACGAACTCATCGCCCCCTGTCCCTGTCAGTTCTGACACTATCACGTAGAAGGACGTGGTGTAATCCCAGCGATGATGTGGAAGGTCTTTGCTGAAGTGGTTAATTTTTAATGAGAATGTGATTTGTTTACTTGACACATTTATTTACTATTTTTATGTTCTTTAATTTAAATCTATGAGAGGACTCTTGATATCCATTATGTTCCAGTTAATCTACTTAAATTGGAATTTACAGATTGAAGCACAGTGTCACAGTGAAAATTACGGTTTTTGACAAAATCTATCGTTGTACCACACGGATTTCAAGGCAATGTCTTGAAATCCATAACTTTTTTATTTTACAATAAACATTTTACAGTTTCCGTTTAAGTTGCTAAAGTTATATATTTATATTAAAATTATAGTAAAAAAATATATATTTCTTTGACTACGACAAATAACTTTATGCCCTTTCCCCATCAGGGTAGGCAAAGATTGTTATCTTTAGGCTGTTGCCTTCGACTTGCTACGGTACTCAATGCCACAAATGACACCACACAAGAAAAAGAAACAACATAAAAAAGAAACAAGCGTTTTTTGATTTTAAACAGTTTTCAAAGATTTGAACTGCCTACGTGGCCGAACGGTTACCATACTGGTCTGCCACGCAGAGGCCTCGGGTTCGTTTCGTGGGCCGGGAGATATAATTTGAATGGATTACATCTATTTCTCTCGTAACTTTGGGTGTAATTTGTGGTTGTCTATGTGTGTGTCCATGGCAACCGCGACACTGGGTTTTCCTAGTACGGGGCTATGAGTGTCTGCAGTATTATTGTTATTCTTTAGAATTTTAGACTCTCGCCTCTCCCATGGCCTAAAAGATTATTTTGGATTTTTAAATGTAAGAGGCGGTACTCCCCGGCAATGTCGGCTGGAATCTGGGACTCATTATTATTTATTATTATTGTTTAGTAGAAATGTTACTCGTCACATACTAATCGTGGCCGATTATGACGTAAACCCGCTCTATAAAATAGATCCGTACCCATCAGTGGGAAGTATAATAAGTTTCCGGTGAGTTTAAGTTGTGTAACGAAGCGAATTAAAGCCTACGAAGCTGTGAGAAACTAACTTATCGAAAAGGTACATTTTGACGCGGCGGAGGAAGCAAATTGGTGAGTTAGCCATTAGCACAAGAAGCCACACGCAAGTCAATGTGTGCACCAGTAGGATTACCACGAACAGTGTCGTCATGGCCTGTAAAAACCATAAAAAGGGTTAATGCAGTACACGCGTTATAAATATTAGGTACCTTGTAATATGAAGTTTCTTGAATATCACAATGTTTTAAATTACTTTACTCTACTAGTTTGTTATAATTATTAATACAAAGATGAACAAAAGACAATAAAAACAAAAAAATGTTTTTTCTTAGTGTTCAATCTTTGTACTAATAATTATTACGTACTTATTTTTAAATACTTTTTCATATTGAGTAGTCACAATCAGTTTCTTTTTAATACGTGACAGGCAGATGACTCCACTTCACCTGATATTGTATGGAGAGTGAAATTCAAACGTGAAGGAATCGAGTCCAGTGTTGTACATTCACTGCCCTAGCCACCCTCACCCTGCATGCCTACAAGATGCTTCTTTACGCCTCGTCTGAAGGACCCCACATTGCAAGACGCAGGAAATACGTGCGCTGGAAGGGAGTTCCATTTGTCGACCGTGCAATATAGTAAGGTGCCACCAAACCTTTTAGTTACTTACGGAACAATAATAATTATGACAAAAATCATAGTAGTTGTAAAGGCATCTGGCCGAGTGAAGAAAATACTTTCATAGATAGGTAGTCTCAAAAGCCGTTAAAACCAAAAACAAATATGCAACAAGCACATGGACAAATTCGGAAGATATGGTACCTTGTTCCGTAGGTGAATTGGGAGAGCAATAGCCCCGGTTTGGTGAAAAAGTTGCTGTTTCGTGGCTAGCTGGATCGAAGGATTTTTGCTTTGTGGTTGTTCGATCTTTCTATCGATAACAACATACTAATGGAGTATATTCACAAAAAATCTGTGAATATTATGGTAGTTAATTTTTTAAATGTAAAATAGTGACAGGCATAACATTAATACGAGGAATAAAAATAAACTAGCTGTTCGTGACAGTCGTTTTCATAAAGTCTCAAATTCATTTAAGGCAATGTATAACGCTTCTGTAATAAGATTCTGATTGATATTCAAAATTTGCCATTTACGAGGTTTAAACTATAATGAAACAAAAACTTTGCACTAAAGGTTAATATAATATGTATATAAATATACAGCTTTCTGTGTACTTGAATGTCAAAAATCCGTGGTAGTGACCCGTTTAGCTCTTTCAGGTAGTCTATCTACTAAGACATTTAAATTAAAGGTTGTAATGATAAATGTATTCAAGTGTATATTTACAAAGAGCAACCCCTAAAGTTTCTTGCTCATGCTTCTAAGAGGAATCTGCCTTACGAATGAGCAGTACAGTTTAATCAGTACGACGACTTCAAGTGTAATTTAGTTACCTTTGAAATAAAGATTATTTGAATTTGATTTTGACTTGGTTAAAACATCATGATATTCAGTAAAATAAATATTACAAAAACAATAGTAGTTCAAAATTATGACAAACCTGTAAAATAGTTAAATTATTTGTGAGCTCGGCTGAAGTCTTCTTGTAAAATTCTACAAGATATTTCAGTCTCAACAACTTGGTGCAGCGCAAATAATGCATGGCTCTCGGACAATTTCTGAATAAGTAATAAATATTTATAATGACTTCGAACTGAATAGAACGATAATATGAATCACATGCATTGTATACAACGTGTAATCGTTAAGTATGCGGCGATTGGTCCGTAAATATAAGAGATATCAAAAACTTTTAAACTGATCTCGAAAGTACACTATTGTTCGTTGCCTAATGAGTAAAACGTAAAAAGTTCAAAGTAAAATAAATAATAATACATGAATTAACTGAATCGTTAATTAACTAGTCATCGTTTGTAATCGTCATTATCGTGAGTATCGTTTTCGTCGTTACAATCACATTTCTACGTTATACTATAAATCATTACAGGCTAAATACCTGTTAAAAGCCAGAAAAAGTACAATTGCGTACACAAGAGTGCATGGTCACTTTATTATTCAGTTTTAACTATATAGAAATTTATACAATTCAAACCCTTGGCATATAAATCCACATGTGATCGTAGATTACAAACTGTAGGGCTAGCACGGTAGGGATAGAGTCTTTGCGAGAACAGCAGTATCTCGCGCTTTATGTCGTTCTCGCGCAAGTCGCGCCCTGCCGTGCTAGCCTTACTGGACATCAGGGGGCGGCGGTAGCGGCCCGGGGGCGACAGCGATGCGGGCTTAATCAAAATGCCTAAGTTTAAGTATATATGCTGTTGTCGACAGTAGCTGCGCGGGCGACGGTACACGAGTGTCGCGCTCTATTCGAGCCAATATTGTCAGAACTACTGATTTATCACTAGATCTACTGTTTTGGGTCGACATCTACTGTTCTACTGATAATCAACTAAAATTGACTGTTTTTAGAAATTTGTTCTGTTAAATTTCTGACGAAATTCATTTAATGTACCAAAAAGATTCAGACGATGATTAATCAAAATAGTTTAGGGTATGTGACTTACTTCTACTAAATTCTAAAACACTTTACGTAATTTCGACATTTTTTATATATATATATTTTTTTTTATTAATTTCATTGTGGACTTGTTTTTTTTACATAATAGCCTGCTGGTTGTTATTGGTATATAAAACATTGAATTTGAGAAAAATCATTGAAAATTGAGAAATTGTTATTTTCAAGTAATAAACATAATATGATTATGTATGGAAGATAACATCAAAAGATCAATTTACAATAAAAAAAGGATTATGAGTGTGTGAAGGTATCCCAACTGGCTGACCATTAATACAACTGCCATACAATCCCTAACCCAAAACAGGGATGTATGGTTGGCAACTGTATTGGAATATCAGCTGTCAAACGCAACATTGAGATTTCCGCTAGGGGCAATAAAAAATATAAATTTATTTTTATTTATCAATATTGTAAGATATCCTCAAAAACGTTACACGTTTTCTTCTTTGGGTAGTAATGTAAAATGAAAATGATCAATCAATGTTTGAAGAAAGTCGATCAAAAGTATACCTTCAAGGTAAGTTCAGCATCTATACTGTTTTTTCATCAATCTACTGTTTTTTGCGTGCAATAACTTCCGACTTTTTCAGATATGACCTGGCAACACTAAGACGAGCGGTGAATGCGTGTTCGAATAGTCGCCGTCTTGTTGTTTACTCACACCTTTATCAATCAATCAAATTTAGAAATGTCTTCGTCGGTAATAATTTCAGCGGTTTAGAAAGACCACAAAATATGGAACAGCAAACATATTGACCATAAAAATGGAAGGATACTATAAAGAAAATAATAGAGATAAGTAGATATTCGATCGTAATTAGAGTGTGATTCTAATTCTGACTTGATATTTGCAAGAATATAGTCAAACGTTTCGAAGAAAGAACTTTCCAGATCTTATGGTCTATGATCTTCGTAATTTTGGCCTTTTTGCCTTCTTTGTAGTACGGGTTCACGTCTTCTTGTACCCATAATACTCATACTGAATAAGAGAATTAGGTACTATAAAAATATCACGCCACAGTATCGATTGACACCCTCTTTACGTCATTTTACCGCCGCGAACTAAGTGATCAGCCCCCGTAGTATGCGCCTCGTTAAAGCTATTATCTCTACATTTGGTTCTCAAATTGGAGTGATAAATAAATTTTAAAATTTTTATCACAATAGCTAACATGGCGAGCACCGCAAGCGCCACGACCAATGACTGCAAAAGTTTAATGCAATTCCAAACATGGCTGCAAGGTCATAGCTGATTTCAAAACATTTTGACAGTTCTCCATAGTAATTTTATCAACGTAAAAATTGAGCGCGACAAAGGAGATGAAAAGAAATAATAAAAACAAACAAATTGATATATATGTATTTATAAATTATTGGGAAAAGGTGAGGAGAACATTTTTAACATAGTTGAATACATAAGAGTAATTAGAAATACCTAAATAATAACTAATATAATCTAAAAAATAAGTAAAAACAAAACTACAAAATCCCGACATTTTTTGGTTCATCGTTTTCGCGGCGATGATGATTAAAACGATAAAGATAGCTAGCTATACACGCAATTTCATATCATTGTCCTTGTTCTTCAAAATGTATAACAATAGTTCATTACCAAATGAGCAAACTTAGCTTTGTCAACTGAAATAAATATTGTCATGGGGAGATTTATCACACATATACTGCCATGCTACGGGCACTGGTCGCTAGCGTCAACAACAGGCAACTTTTATTCCGCCGCCGCCGTCCTCATTGAGGTCGCCACCACGCCACCCCGAGCTATATTCCAGTTTGTGACCGTGATTTTATTTTTTATTATTATTTTCATGAAAGTCATGAAAATAATACGAACTCTATGAAACAAATTATGTATATGTGAAGTTTTATAACTCTCATATTTAAGCATAAAAAGTTATCGTCTAATTTCCTTCGTAGAATCTTTAAACCTCTCTCCTGAGAATTTTGCAGATGTGGCCTTATTACACCAATGATGCGAATTGAATATAATTTACATTTTTGTGTGCAAAAATAATATCTAACTACGAACAGTCCGTTCGAACCGTATGCACAGCTGTGAAACCAGCTTAAGTTTACTTACGGAAAAGCGAAACCTAAGAGCTCGAAGGGCGTGTTTGTCAAGATATCCGACCACATCCACCATTTCCGTTTGCAATATTGTCGTCGGCACTTGTTTGGGTCAACCACTATTACTCCACGTTTATTTACGAACGCCTGATTTTTTTAAATAAAGAAAATGTCAATAAATTGAATTATTATTACTATTACAACTACAATCAAACTTTACAAACCTGTTTTATGTTAAGCAATATCTTTTTTAAGTGGGAATTATTAATTACAAATAAAAATATTATTTGGAAATGAAACTATTTTTACATCCATCGTTTTCGATTGGTAGGGTCAGCCGGGAAAAGTTAGTTTGTTTCAATAACAAATATACGCGATTTTGATTCTAAACTTTCATTCCCATTGTGTAGCAATTACGCAAACCTAAGAACTAAATGAACAATAATTACTAATAATTCAAAATCTGCTCTCTCTTAACACTAATTATTTCAAATATTTTTTAATAATTATTATGTATCCGTAAGATGGAGTAAAAAATATGTTTCACTACAGATACATACCATGAGTTCTATAAAAGCTCAAAAAGTATTTTCTAATAAAATGAATATCCATTTACCTGATGGATATTCAAATAAATTTTGACATAAAAGAAGATATCAAGGGCCCCTTGCATCCAGAATAAGATTTTACAATCGTTCAGTGTCACTATCTGGTAGGACACCAGGACATAATTTATAGTCGCCATTAAGCAGCACAAATAACCGAAGCCCTGCCGAAATACTCAAAATTACTGTAAACTCACAATGTATGTTTTTAAATAAATAAGCAAATAAAATTAAACATTTTCCGAACGTTCGGGAACGTATTCAGGTAACAAAATGTGAATTAAACGCCCTCAAACTGAAAGTTTGATATTTCAAAATACGCAAATGGAAAATGTGTTTTTGAAACCTGTGGTATATCACGTCATTTTTTGAGCGTTGACACGATGCGTTGTGACGTATAAGCGGTGACGTTGCATTGTACTACCTTCACATTAATTAGAGCTACATGCCACATGGTGTATTGAAATGGCGCATGGCAAACGGAACGTGTACGAATCGGGCTAGTGGTCAGGAGACGAAGTGCGTAAGTAACCGGCGTTACGTTGCGATATCGCATTGCTTGTTTGGTACTCGGTGCGTTAAAATCATAGCGTTGCGACGACGCCATTTTAACCTCCTAAGACCCAACTGCAATAGGAAAAGCGCTAAACACCCAATGTTAAATGTACTAAATATAATTACATGCTTCAGGCACGTACGTATGCCTTCAGTAGGGCTAGCACGACAAGACGCGACTTGCGCTACAGTTTTGTATGTAAAAAGTATTTTTCTAAATACCCTATGGTCATAGAATGTAGGGCACTAAATTTGAATGCGATATTTTCTTTATAATGTACACTGAGCGTTTACGTAATCATAAGGATAATATTGTCTAGGTCTGATTCACTTCACATTATGTACATTACATGGGGCCTTAGGAGGTTAAAAAAAATGGATACACATTGCAGTCTTAAAGTTCTTAACTGCGGCAAATTAATAAATAGTAAATGAACCCAACTTATGAAAATCAGCAAAAATACTAATTACGTAAATTACGTTGAGGTTTATAAGAGGCGTGCGCATCGGACAAGGGGCCAGGAACCGAAGTGGGGAGGGGTGCTGCGGTGCGTAATTAAGCGGGGCGTTACGTTGTGACACCGCGTTACTCGTGTGGCACTCGATGCGTTGAAATCATAGCGTTGCGACGACGCAACGCATCGGCAACGTAAGTGTAGCATCGCTCTTAATTTGTGGTAAAATTAGATCCTTCCTTGTTTTAATTAAGAAGAAGAAAAAGAAAATATATTTATTTGACTATACTACCTATAGAAGAAACTAATAAAATAAATAAAAACATTCACACTTAAGACACAAATAAATAATTACAAAACAAAATTAAGGTACCAAAATTTTATTAAGGATAGTATTGTAGACCGTCTAGTGTAAATGAGAGACCTGATAAAGCCAAGATCCGGGTCTTATCAGATTGTGCACGTGCAAGTAGCTTTGGTAGGTCCCGACGCTAGAGTGGGACTTAGCCATGCTCATGTCTGTGAACGACCTTTGTAATTGAACGTGCGGTTCTGTGAAATAAATAAAATGTTATGAAATAATAACATAATAGTGATGCTCTATTTAACAATGTAAACGAAATTCCACGGAATGGAATGGAAGCGCATTTTCGTAACCATAATTAACTTTATGTCAATTGTGTAACGTACAAACGAATACGAGCCAAAAAACAGCACGCGCGTCTCCCGGAAAATTCTGGGTATCAATCTCGGGAATTTCCGGGTCCGTTCGTTATGCCCTTGGTCTCTTTTGCACCCGTCTTGTTTACACCCGTTTCAAATAAATTCTATATCAATATTTTCTGTCAGATACGAGTTCATTTGTATTTAATTACTGTTGACAATTATTTAAATGTTTAAGAACTTGTTAATTTATATGTGTATTACAATTGTGAAGGGATACAAAAGTAGTTAAAAAGAAAAGTACTTACACTCTGTACAAACCAAGTTTTTTCCATATTGGTAATTTTTAAAATTTTCTTAAAACTGACATACATATATACCGTACGTAGACATATTTAAATTGTTATGTACAATGGTTGATTATGAATATTTAAAAAAACCTTTTAGTGTAAAAACAAATATTTTGATGTTGACGTGCTAAATGCGTATTTTGAGTTTAGTATCCATTTAAAAAAATTTTTCAAGCTGTATTTTATTTTAAGTAATTAGTACGACAAAACGATAAATAAAAAAAAACGAAAAAGGCCTATTGTCACTTGTACTCATTTCACTAAGTGTAACAAACCTTTTCTACATTAAGTTCATGTTATTTCAATTTTCATAGACGCTAATATTACATGTCAAAATTTTATTATTTTAGTAAAAAAATTTCATTAAAAATTGCTTTGAAATATATTTATCCTAACTAAAAAAGAAACAAATAAAACGGGGGCAAAAGAAACCGGGGGCATAACGAACGGATCCGAATTTCTGCAGCTATATTCCGTTCCGCGGCATTGTACTTAACTGCCTCCGTGGGCGAACGGTTACCATGCCGGACTGCCACACAGAGGTCCCAGGTTCGATTCCCGGGCCGGGAGAAATATTTATATGGCCTACATTTATTTCTCTCGTGAGTTTGGGTATCATTTGTGGTGTTTTATGTGTGTCCATGGCACCCGCGACCCAGTGTTTCTCTAGTGCAGTTGAGTGTGTGCGTTATTATTATTTTTTATTTTAATTAAAAGATCAAAACGCTTATCACCACGTAAATCATACTAGGTCTATTTTCCACGTAAATGATTTCGTCGTAAGAATTTGAAATATATGTTATTATATATAATAATAATATTGTGTCCTTGTGAAAGAGTTCGTCCAGGGAAGTACTACCACCTTACCTATTTCTTCCGCCAAGAATTAATGTGATCATTACTGCGTTCCGATTTTAAAAGGGTAAGGCCACAAATTTGCAACAGTGGTGCGTTCACCGGGGCGTTCAAGATTTGCGCGTGCGTCTTACTGTCATGGCAAAGTACGCTTTATTTATTTAGCTTTTACGTTTTAACTTAAATGAGCGTCCCGGGCGCGCGGCGACTAAGCGGTTGCATTGTTGTAGAGGAATTTAAATATTGTTACCTAGTATATCAGCGTTGGATTACTTTGCATGCACAACCCGACAAATGCTGAGTGGTGACATTTCAGATCTCAATCTTTAATATTAAGATTTATCTTAATCCTTGTATTACTAGTAGAGACCAAAAAATATTATTTTCTTTCTTTCTAGTAAATACAATTCAGATTCGCCATGAATGTACGTGAAAGCGTGGTAACTGGGTGACCGCGCAAAAACTTTCGCGTTACACGACGCGAAAGTTTTCGCGGGCGCTAAGGGTTCTGGTGAAATTACTGGAACATGGGACTTGCCAACTTATGTCGTGTCCCAAGGAGACGGGCGCAGTGGCAGTGTCCTTTAGATCTTTCCGATTTAAAGATCTGAGTAGCACTGCAACTGCTATGGACAGACATGTTGCTTAACACCAGGCGCACGATTTGTTCGTCCTGTTCCTTGGTATCATAAAAGAAAATTAAACTTGTAAAATTACCCATTTGCATTTCAAATCCACTTATTGAATCATGTTCTGAATCTTCTTCTTGTTCCAAGTCTGACTCCCCTGTAATAAGATTTATGTAGGTATACAGTATTTATAGCTGAAAAGCTATTTCTGCACTGACCGACAAATGAACATACCGCTGGAA